TAACTCTGCCCAGCACTTTAACCATTCAGCAACCGTGAAAACTCTTTCAGCTACGTCTCAATTTCGAACGTTTGACCCAGTGCGGGGCGCTCCTCAATGCCTTTAGATGTGTTTTAGTGTCTCTTGACTTAGGACACCACGGGGATCCCTCTGGTTGTTGCTCCACAGACGTTCATGTATCAATGATTTGTGAATTCCCCACTCTCACATCTTTCAGACATCTGCGCCGTTTTATAAGCCTTATAATTTGTTTAAGTCCCCAAGGAGCTCAGCTGCTGTTACTCCTCACACGAAAGCAACAGTGGGTATTTTGGTAGAGGGGCGCTAACCGATCGCTTTTACGGAACTCGCTCATTCTTTTGTGCTTTACGGGCTCTCTGTCTCGCGAGCCCAACCAGCAACCGCATAACGGCACATGATATAGGCTGGATGTTACAACCGGCAAAGACAAGGGAAACTGGTATGGTCATTTCTGGTTTATTAACGATCGTCAGCTCGTCATACCGAAACCCAAAGTGAGGATCATCTGGGGCTCGATCCCGCGGCCTATTAATTAGAAGCCTAACGCCTCTAACCACTGAGTCACTGGCTGGTTTTCTATCGTTTGCCACCGGGAATATAAAATGGTAGAGGAGGACACTCACCGATCGTTTTTGCGGAAATTACTCGTCCCGTCGTGCTTTTTATTTTCCTGACACAGGCTGTTGACGACCTGCAGTATGCCAGACTGACTCTTGCACACATACAACTGTCCTTTTTCACCCCTAAACGGTACCCTCTCTTCCGCTGTCGCTAATCTCAATAATTATGCTATAACTGTAACCAGTGTTCTCCTACTCAATAAAGTTGGTGCTCCTAGAAACTCTTTATAGCACCTTTGGCAGAGAACTCGCTGGCGTCTACCTCGCCAGGATCCACAGACTTCTTCCTTGCGTCTTCTCCATTCTCTCTGGCAAACATCCGTCCTGAGCAGTCCGTCAGGTCGATTTTATTTCGTACTACACCACCGATATTTGTCTTCTTAACGATGTTTCGAGTCAAGTTGCCAATGGCCATTCTCGGTTCGGTGAGGGTGTCATGAAACGACTTTCTATCAAATCTGAGGCCATGGCTGGATTACAGCATCAGACCCGTTTTGCCAAACAACTTATACACGCTAGTCTTGAGACTACGGTTACTCCCTCTAACGCTTGTACCATCCGGTATGACAGTAAGGTTAGGTATGTGCCTAGGGATAATAAAAACTACGAGAAACTGCCTGCTATATTTTTAAAAGTAGGTGTTGTTCGGTGGATTTTTTAGCTGCCCTTCGTCAGCAGGGTGACATTCGCTGACCCGTATCGTCCTGAAGAGTCGGTGCTGCTGAAATGTTTACATCGGTTTGCTGTTCTGTTCACTTTCTTAAAAAAGTTTGGCACGGGACGCAGTCAGGTAGTAAAAAAATACTCGAAATATTACTAGGTGAAATGCATACGTCCGCCAATAAAGCAGTGATGTTAAGACGCTTGTGAATTTGTTAAACAACAGCTAGCAGTTTTTTACCTCGCGCATATAATTAGTCCTTGCAGTATGACTTGTCACACCGTCTCTCCAGACTAGAAACAGATGGGACTAGAGGTCGTGACCACGTTATAGAATTTTTCCGTTCCGGTATCCGGACGACCCAAAGTCTCGTTTTTGACTGCTTCGTCTGAACTGACAATAACGACATCGGTATTTGCCAATGGACTCTTTCAAGCCTGGCATATCGGAAGCCCAAAATCGGAGGATACAACAAAGCTTCCATTTGTACATTTCATGTTCACAATGCAACACATTGCTTTTGACTTCACAGACCTTGTAGTCACTCTACCAACGTTCCGTGTTTGCAATAATTTGCTCACTGCTATTGATTGTTCACACGACGGCTAATCGGAACTCGCCTTCCCAATGCAACCGTAAGTGCTACTGTTCGCGCCATTCTGGAGCATTAAATATCATATTACACTTTTCCTCGATTATCAAAACTGGCCGGTGTCAGAAATTTAATAATGGGCGTTTCTATTACCTTAATGACCTCCTCGAGTGTGTCCGCATAAGATTGGCAACAAGGTATCTTTCACCCAGTAGACAGATCGGGCGCTTTCATCTCAATACCAAGGCGTTGCACAGGACCGGACGTTAGAGCCAGAGTCGAGATCAATTCTGCTATGAAGCAGGATTTTAAATTTTCGACCGCCAGCCCTGTTTAAAAAGTTATTCGATGTAAATATCATTAGCCGTGTCCGACGGTTTTGCCGAGCAGTGGCTATTCCGTGAGCAATCACCCAGAGCGCTGCTGCAAACAAAGCATTTGTTGATTCTGCCTCAACAACTTGTCCTTTAACGTTTCTCTGCGCTATTGGGGTCTGCTGCGAACATCCTGTGATGTATCGTCTGGCGTTCTAGTGCTAACTCTCACGTACCGCAGAATTTTATGCGTTGATCGCACTGCGAAGATACCCGGTCGTTTGAGTTTGACTCCAGCCATCCTTCGCCACCTATAGCAGTCAGGACTGACTTTTCTGCGTCCTTTCTAGTACTATTGGTCACATTTCAGTAACACGTTTTTATGTGTTCACAATTTTGCCATACCTTCCATGCATTGATACACTAGTATTTACCAGACAGTTACATGCCTTTTGCGGGTACACTCTAGTTGCCATGTGCGTTTCCCTGAACGTTGCAAACTTGCAGCTTAGGGCGGATGTACTATGCTGAGGCCCTATTTCGTACTGGGGAAGTCCTTTGCCACTTTCCGCTTTTTTCCAATTGCCAGTCATCAGTTTGGAGAAGTGCCTTCTGCCGGTGGGAGATGCAACTCGAAAACACTTTCGTCATCCCAGCTTTTATGCAGCGATCACGAGGGCCTTCCGCGCGGCGAATTTACGCGTATGCTTCCTAAACTCTCCCTCCTACGTTTTGGAGGTAAAAGCGGACTACCATTGGAGGCCACATTAATGTGAACTTACTCATTCACTTGCTCCTGTGGAACGGGATACATCCGTCACAGAACGAGACACCTGGTAAAGAGGGTGCGTGAACATATGCTCGCCTGGTTAGACAGAGGTGAGACCCGGTCGATTTCGAGTGCTATTCTAGCACATTTAATCGATACGAATCACCGAATCGATGCCAAGGAAGCATTTCAGGTTTTCTATCGGACACCAACATGCTTCTCTAAAGGCCTACGCCAACGGGTGCTAGCTGCAACCGAGACAGTGGCTATACGGCTAGCGAATCCGGTGTTATGCTGTCCGAAAAACCTGACACAAGCGCTCTCCTTGCCGTGGCCAACGCCAACCCCAAGTTTTGACGAGATGCCACCTCAAATCCCTAATTACAGTGATGGGTACTCCGTGTACTCAATCCAAGAACATCACTCGAAGACTCTTCTAACCCCACCCCTAGCTCTGAGGACCATAACCCGCCGACCTTTCCATGCGGGTGGCGTGGGGAAGATGAGTGTTAGTGACTAAACCGCCCTTGAGACACCTGTAAACACCGTTGATTTTGTACATTTTCATTTCTTCATGTAACTGTAATGGCCTGACGAAGAATTACCGAAAACACGTGTTTGCCAACTTGACTTTTATGGGTAAATCTTCCGAACCGGCGACATCCTCCATCCATAGCACCACAGATTTGAGATCGCCGAAGCTTTGAGCTAACAGGCGTAGTTGAGGTCAGTCAGCTGGCGTCCGACTGTCACAACCGTATAGGGTCATTCCGAGAATCTAATCAATGGCGTAGATAAAAAAAATGGGCGACAGGCTGCATCTTTGTCAAATATCAAATCCGACATTGATTTTTTTGCGCAGGAACCGTTGGCAGCGTCCGTGAAATTAATCTATATTTTTATTTTACTGACTGCCTGTTGGAAGAAGGCAAATATTGCGCTTTTATTCCACCGAAGTTGAATATAACCAGAGAATTCACTCCCAGCTCGTGCATTAATTACTAGCTGGATTAAACACTAGAAGAGAACAGGCGCGTTTTAGGAAGCAGTTCAGAAGAAGAAGATGAGTTCACTAGAAGAGGAAGAAGAATAAGAAGTTCATTGGGTCCGACGTCTCAGATACTCATTCGAATTCACCATCAGAGACGGTCGCAAATAAAGGTAGTGGAGGCACACAGACTGAAGTATTTATAATACTAATTGTCGTGGGACCATAAGCGTACTATAATTGACAGCTCTCGCGATCACCGCGGGGGGGGTCGCAATTGATGCGATGATGACTTTTCAGTTCGCGTCAGAGTCGATAATTGGCGCAATTTCATCATCCCCCTTGGATGTTGGCCTGATGATTATTCAGTAATTTGCCCCGCTGTCATTGCAAATTTCGCTCGCCCGCGCCCTCACCAAGTGACTGATCCCCTTCTTAGGAAATTTCTAAGCACCGAATATGCTACCAGGAGGTCATTGCGCCTGTTGGTGGATTGCGGACCTGAGAACCATGATTCGAGCAGCTCGCGGCTCACATGGTTGTCAGCCCTTACAAGGATTTCGGGCTCTTAAAACTTGAAAATGTAGCTGGGTTCCGTGGAATAAGTTGCCACCTGAGAGTTAGCGTCAATCCCCCCCACCGCTGCTGCGTGCTCAGCCGTGCGCGTCCGCAGTAATCTCCCATAAATACTAAAGGTACTATAAATACTGCAGTTTTTTGCCTCCAGTACATTTATCTGCAACAGTCTCTGCCGGTGGGTTCGAGTAAGAATCCGAAACGTCAGGCCAACAAACTTCTTGTTCCAGTGCTCTCATCTTCCTCTTTTTCTGGCTTAAACAGCTTTATCGCGGATCCCCTTAACAGTGCTTGGAAACCTGTCTTGTTTATTTTCATAGCTTCGAAGCAGGTGACATGTCTGAGAAAAATAAACTGTGGTCATTCAAAAATGTCAACAAGCATCCCATTATCAGAGTTTTCAAGCTAAGTAACTACAGAAATGCCCTAGCGAAGTCTCTGCAGAGGATGAAGCGGAATTTAGGCGAGGCAGGCGCAGGTTGCAGCTTCTTCCGTTACTCCTAGTCGGGGTAGTACGTATCGCACTGTGAATGCCATGATTGGAACACCCGTTGGGGGCTCAGTATCCCTGCCTCTGGCGGGACATATGTCCACATGGGTGTAGGGAATCGGCCGCGGAGAGTTTAGGCCGTGCTGCAAAGTGAAAAGGACGTAATTAGGGGACAAAAAAATTGTAAGACGCAAAAGAAAGTTCTGAGGCGTCCTATTTTGTAGACATCTCTTCTGCCGGGTCTAAAGTTTGTTTTGCAGAGACTTAGTCTTCCAAGTCCCAAACACAGTCTGGGTGGACTCAGACTCCGAATCAGGACTCTTCCGTTGACGAGCCAACTGCTCTTTCATTGGACCACGATCTCCCACTCCCGCCCGCTACGATCGAGGATTCTTGAGGGTACACGACCGTGAGGTTTGAAGTTAAATCCCAATTGCAGGACAAACTACTGACCGAGGTTTTGCCCTTGGCCCTCTAAATGATCACAAATGCCTCCTTTGTCTGCCACAGTAACACTGCGTCTGAAGGACCCTCTCTGCCGATTGCCTAAACCTCAGACATCCTGCAAAATATCCCGGGCTTCTCCCAAGAATCCACGTCTGCCAAATTTTGTGGTCTCCAACATCAGGACTACCAGGACTATTCAGTGCTCCCAAATATGCCGTCATAACGAAGGCAATTTTCTAGGGGGTAATCTTGTGCGTTTTGGTTTTGATATAGTTTATATTGAAGGCTTAATGCAGTAGTTGAAGCACGGAGTGGATTCTACAAGAATCCTTGAAAACTGCTCAAGATTGGTTGGCCACACCACACCTAGTCCTCTCGAGCGGATGAAGTGTTCGCGGGCCGCCATCCCTAACCCAACGCAGGTGTTTGCAACGGCGACAATTCGCGTGCGGTATCTACCAGACACTAAGGTCGGCCGTCTATCAGGATGTCAAAATCAAGACGCGGGATCTGTAACGCTGTCTGGAGGGCTCGGATTTGTTTAGTTGAACCCTACTGCTCACTTCTCTCGCAGTCTGTAGAGCGCTTGAGGCCGTTCAGAGGTCCTTGTACACTCTCCTCAATTATGTGCTGAGAAATCCCACCCCGATAAAGATGCAAATTGCCGACAGCATATTCACAAACCCGTCGCTGCAGGCTATAGAGATCGCCTTCAACCGACGTCAAGATGGATGTTGCAACTTAACCACGTCAATGCTGTTCACATCCACTAGCTCATCCTCCTGAGAACCGAGACATCCCAGTCGGGCGGAGAGATCTGGACGCTGAACGTCTACAGCGGAAAGGCAGGTGACAACTCACTTCGTCCAATCCACTCGCTCGGATGAGGTAGGCTGCTGGAAATTGGTGTCCTCGAGCATGCTCTGATGGATTCAAGTGGAAAGACTGCATCAAATCCTCGTACTCCGATTGGCCATTCGTGACGTCATAGTCCTCCCTCCTGATTGTCGATATCTAAATGGCAGCGAATAGGAGGATACATGAAAAAAATTACATCCCTTCTCTCCATGACCTAGTTCACAAACAGTGGCCTAAGCCCTCAGAATACTGTGGAGGCGAACAAGTAATCGAACGCCTAGTTTGTAAGATAAATTACAGCCGTAAAGCGTAAATTCATTTGACATCGGTTCAAGCGTGTTTTGACGAGAACTTCACCTCTTTTACGACAGTGACATGACAACGTAAGCAGATGTTCGACCACTGCCAGTCATGCTGAGTGAGTTAATAATTCTGCCCCTAAAACTGTCCACGTGTTGGCGATGGACCAACACGGTGGCCAGATTAGAGTTCAGCAGGTGCTATCATGAATGCGAACGCATAAAACATGTCAACATGTGAGGGGGGGGGGCTTAAGCGACGCGCCCAGTCGCAGGCTCATGCGGCGCCTATTGATAAACGTGTCGCCTCCCCCCATTTCTCTTGGTGTATAAAATTCTTGTCATTGTCCGTTCTGGACCAGGGTGTGTGGTGGTATGTCTAGATGAAGGGGTTTTGTCGTACCAGCCAGCTGCGCTGTCTTTCACCTTCGGTCTTGACGTCGTCTTGCCACTGGGCTCAGGTGGAGAAGAGAGAGTGAGATGGATGCTGTGCAAGTCCACTAACACTACAAACTAGTTCGCGCGCAAATCTCCGCACCTGCTTTCGGCCTACTGTGGAGCATACGGTGAATAAAGTCGGTCGAACTGTCGTCGAGTAATTAGCATTCTTTCTCGTTCGAAAGCCGCGAAGGCGGTTTCTTGAGAATTTGGGAGCAGTCAGCACTGACGACCGACGTTGCGTTCTCTCAAATACTTGGGAGTTTCTGATAGCTGTAGATCATTCTTAAACTCCTAAAAGAGCATGATGATTGCCTAGATCCGAGGGAGTTAAAGCTCATCTTTCGCATGCGCCGAGGTCTACGAGTTTTTATACTCCGACGATGTAAATTCCGGTGTATTCAGTTGTCAAAATGACACATATCTGAGACTGTCTCAATGAGTGATAGTCAAAATGAATTCTAAAGGGCATATATTGATTGCGGCTGAAGTGATTAAGTCTTCTTTAACGTGAAAAACAGTCAATGCAAAGATGTAAAGCAGCGGCAGACAAACTAACCTCCATCATGTCTGAAATCCGATCGCCAGCCTTTTGAATTGACGCGGCCGTTTTCTTTCGTCGTGCGGGTCCATTGTCCATTATGGCCTAATTAAAAGTGTATCAATGCATCACAGATCTTTGCCTGAAAAATTGGTCACTATTACATATTATAGAGCATGAGAGCTCCAGAGAAGGGGGGTATCGCTTAAAGAATTCGCTAAACAGCAGAAGACAGACTGGTGAGTCGCTGAGGTCATTTTTAGATTGACAGCAGACACAATACTTCCACAGAAAAGATTGGTGTAGAGACACAGAAGAATAATTGACTTCTGCTTGTTAAATTTAAGGAAAACCAGTTCTCAAACAGCCTCACTTCGTGTTGCGGACTACCAAATGCTAAATTTCCCAACCACTACTGTGATTACAATCGAACAGAAACAACTACTTGTCTATACCGGAACCCGTCCTCGCTTAGAGGTGAAATTGGAGACTTATGGAGAAGTTATAGTCACCTCGGTTTGAAAAATACGTTCTGATATCAAATTGAGATCAATGTCGCGGCATGTTTCCATTTGAATATACTATTTGAATCCCAGTTGTATTTAATTTTCAGTCAAAGAGGTCTTGAAGATCGCTAGTCGTCACATCCTGCATCCTTTATAAAGTGGTACATTTCACCTTCGCGTGCCTCGATCACCTGTTGATCATAATTGGGGCGAGTCTGCGAATGTGGTGGTATCAATGTGCTAGGTAACGCATATGTGCGGATGTCCTGTGCTTTTGAAGGAATAAATAAAACAAGGCCTACTGAAAACCATACAGTAACTAGTTATGGACAGTTAAACAGCCCAACCTGGCATGAACATTCTTACTGGGGTCTGTATCACCAATCATCGAGGATGCCCTCTAAAGCGACTTAATCGATGGCGTTAAGAAAGTGAACAGGAAAAAACTGAGAAGACGGCAAGATTGGGATGTTGCTGGCAGGGGCGCTGACAAATATTTTTTTCCATCAAGCTCCGAGTCATGAACCAGGTTAACTATTCCACCAACGATCCACAAAAAGGTAATTCACAGAAACCACAGCCGAAAGAAGGGGCACCGTCTTTAAAAAAATAGTAGGATTTTTGCATGGTCCTAAGGCTTTGCATCAACGAAGCAAGCGTGTTGGAAAAAATCACAATTATGGCTTATTTACCCGAAGAAGCACCCCAATAAATAATGTCCTGGAACGTAAGTGGGGGATTTTGCAGTCATGAGGAAGTATATTTCATCCGCGTATGCCACCGAAGTGTTTGGAGTCTCTAAATAATATTTGTTTTTAAAAAAATATTATCGCGGATTTAAATAAGTTTTACATGGCTGGTACGCATCCATTCCTCGTAACGCTGATGTGCTAGAAGACTAGTTTCCATTAACCCTTGACAGTAATATATATATCTCGCGTTCATCATCTTCTGAAGAAGACGACGAAGAAGAGAGGGCGAATTCATGGAACATATTGTATTCGAACTGAAGTTTCGGAAACTTCTTCGTTTCCATCATCAGAGTAGCGTAATTGTTGCACTTGCCGGTCATGAGTTGTTCAGTCTTGCCGCTTGCCTTGTATTATAGCCGTGCTGGACGCAAGAACTTTGACCTGCCTGTTTGTCGCTGACTGGCTTAGACCTCCCCGGAGCTGACCACTGACAGGCCTGCGTGACCTTTTTTCCCTTTGGGGTCGGCGTAATTGTGGCCAAATCAACGTGCCGCTTGGCCCCTCCCACGTCAGCCGTTGGACTGATCGATCGTTGCTGTTCAGGTGAGCAGCATTCAGCTTCGCGGGCGCATCGGTGAGACAGTGTTCGGCTTTGGCCACATGACCTCTGGCCCCCAATTCGCTCTTTTCCGTGTGCGTTGACTCTCGGTCCCGCGTGCTCGCTTGCCTTACTGGTCCTGTCCGGACTGATCCGAGCCTTGTACGCAGTGCCTGGTAGGCGGGACGTAGATCTATAGCACGGTTGAGTGTACCAGTCGTGCGTACCTTGATATTTCCCGACATACAGTTCACTATGGAGGAAGAGGCCGACAATCGATTGCCTTTCCTAGACGTACAAGTTGCAAAACTGGCAGACGGGAATATAAAGACGACGGTCTACCGTAAGGCGACTAGCACTAGGCGCATCCTCCACTTCAGAAGCAACCACCCCGTCGGTCACAAACGCAGTTGTGTCAGGACCCTTTTCCAACGCACCCAAACACACTGCAGCAACGACGATGGCAGGAAGAAGGGGGTGAAGTACTTACGTGCCCTGATTGAAGCCAACGGTTACCCGAAGTCGTTCATACGCAACTGTTTCAGGAAGTCCCACTCGGGGCGGTCAAATGATCAACAATCAGACAGCACATCATGAGGCCCAAAGACCCGCTCCCGGTGACAGAACAATCAGCGGTGGTCTACAGCAAACCATGCCAAGATTGGGATGCCAGGTATGTAGGTGAAACGGGAAAACACGTCGGCAAAAGATTGCACAGGCACCAGCCAGCAGTCAGTCGTAAAGATAAGCTGTCGTTGGTGTACGGCCACACACTACAGCGGAATCACAGTTTCGCCTTCGAGAAAGCGAGTGTGATCGGCCGAGTCAATGATAAAATGGCCAGACTAATGCTAGAAAGTTGTTCCTCGACTGGCACACTCAACCGGGCCCTAGACCTACATCCAGCCGACCAGGCGCTCCGCGCAAGACTCGAATCTGTCCAGGCAGGGCCGATGACACGGATGAAAAGAGTCACACGGGGTCGACCGCCGACGCTCGCGGAAAGAGGAGAAGGCGCTGACCGAATGTCACGTGACCGGCGTGGCACACCATCTCACGGACGTACCCGCGAGGCCGGAAACACCACGCCTGAGGAACAGCGATCGATCAGCCCGCCGTCTGACGAGGGGGAAGCCAACGAGCACGCCAACGCAGCGCAATCACGTAAGGCGTGAGGGGGACACATGCCACGCCAGTCCGCCAATAGCTGAGATCAGGGAGGCGACAATCAGCCAACGGAAAGCAAACTAGTCAACAAACGTGCGCTGGGCCCGGTTATAATACAAGGCAGGCGGCAAGGCTGAACAGATCAAGGCCAGCGGGAAACGTCAGCGCACGACTCTGAAGATGGAAACGAGAGAGTTTCCGAAACGTCAGTCTGAATACAACCTGGTTCATGAAATCGCTTTCTCTTCTCCGTTTTCCTCGGGGGATGATATACACGGTAATATATCTGGACTTCGGATTTTCACGCATATTGCTTGATACATATATATATATATATATATATATAATATATAATATATATAATATATATAATGATGATAGGGGGCGCTCGCCGATCGTTCATACAGAACTCACTCGTTCCGTTGTGCCTTAAGGGCTCTCTCTCAAGCCCAACTAGCTGCCGCACAGCGGCGCATGATACATAGGCAGAATAGCATATATCAGTTTTCGTCTTATGATCGTGTGAAACTGAGAAGTATATTGTCAGATAGTCAGTAGACCTCAATTCATGAATTACTGAAAGACAATATAGTATAATGTCTTCCTTCCAAATCAATATACAACAGTCAGTTTAACTTGAAAGAATGCTTAAAACTGCAGTGAACTCCGCATATATGTGCTACTGCCATTTATGGTACTATTCGTCCACTCTTAGTAGGCACAATCTGTAATCTGATTTTCCATCAAACTGCAGACCAAATCATTGCTGATACAGTCTGAAGTTTCAATGTCCATTCGCATTCAAAGAGGGCTTGTAACAGTTTTGTTGAAGACCTACTGAGTACACGAGATAGGTCGCCCGTGCATGTCCAGTTAAAGTGGCGATGGAGAAGATGTGTGGGTTGGTTTCCTTGAGGGCCTAAAATTTCCAAAAGCTCGCATGTTAGGGTCGTTTAAGTGCGATTTATCAGAAATTCCGGAAATGATCCCTAAGAAAATGAAATTGCGTCGTAGGATATGAAAAGCATGATTTAATCAGGCGACCTCGTTCAGCATTGCTGCCCGGCATGGGAGAGACATCGGCATCAACATCCTTTATGCAGAATGCAGATTTCCAAAACTGCGAGTACGGATTTTTCATCTGTGTTTTGGGATTTGCATAAGTCTCCACACAGATTATGACAGTCACAACTAACTAGGTCCTATCAATGAATTAACCACTATCTCAAAGTTTAACGAAAAAGTGTGACCTTGTGAGCTTTCGAGGTCTTTTTGTGACAAGATTTGATGCTCATACCGTTTAGATAAATGTATCATGTGATAAGTATGGTGTGCGGTGGCTGATCCACGTCGCGGACGCTATCGTAAATTCACCAAGTGGATGCAACTGAATGTGATACAGATGTGTTACTAACATATTTTTAGTAACATTAGCTGTTACAGTAATTGACGTCGTTCGAATTAATTGATGAACCTTCCTGCCTTTTGATTAATCAATGCAAACTCCTACTCCGTTTATAGAAGACACCAACCTAGCTTCGTAAATAAACTGAATATGCTGACTACCGTAGTTGTAAGTACATGAGTATATGGTCGACGTCCACCCCGAAGGTTGTGTGCTTACTGACATGCATAGTGGTAAAATGCGGGGAAGTTGGGAAGAAGACCAAGAGACGTACCGCCTCCTTCGCATAATAAAGCATGTCGGTCAGGACCACGCGACCCTCGGCGTCCGTGTTCACGACTCGTACACGGCGACCGGCAAGGCTGGTGAGAATTTCGTCCGGAATGTATGCGTCTGCGCCTGGACTGTTGCGAACGAAAGCCATGAAGCCCATCACCTTGAGGGAACTCGGCTTCAGCATGCTGAGGGTCTTGAAGAAGCCAGCCACCGCCGCAGCTCCGCACTTGTCTCGGTGCATACCCTGCATGAAGTTCTTGATCTTTATGTTGGCGCCGCCGCTGTCGAATGTGATGCCTTTGCCTGTTAGGAGGAGAGTTTCTTGGGGGGCACCCGCGCCCTGGTACTCCATCGTGACTATGCGTCCATCGTGCCGTTCAACTCCTGCAGAATGGGAACAGTTAAAGGGGTTTTCACCCATTCTTATCAAAGTGTGTGTGTGTGTGCGTTTGCACTGGATATTCTGGAAAGCAGACCAGAATTTATTTGCTGAGGGTACATCGATTAGATTCAATCAGTCCATTTGAACCCAGGTCACAGACTGATTTCGATTTTGAGATGTCTTGCACCTGAATAATGATAATGACATCCTCGAGGTGGGATCATCCGCCTAAACCCCGCGGTTGGCAACAACAGTAGCGAAGTATTATTGCTCGTCTACAAACCACAGCGCGATTCTGGAAAACGAGGACTTGGCACTCGCACTCGAGAGGAAACACTGATGTTTAATTGCATTGATGAATTAAAGGCAATTGAAACTTTTTGATCTGTGTTGTTGATTTGGCGGTTTTTCGTAAAATAATTTATTTCATAGTCAATAAATAATAATATACAAAGCCAACTACTTCGTCTTTCGAAGCTTGGTCATTTCTTTAGCACAGTATAGCTTTCGTGGATGAGGATTGGGCAGTTCGTACGTTACAAATATTGCAGTTTGCAGTCTGTGATCTCTTATTAGACAGATCACGAAATGTTACGAGCAAAGCTGTGGCAGAATTGTACGGAATCCTTCTTTTCTTATGCAGCAATAAGGATGCACGAGGAGCTGGGTCGATTATAAGCGTACTGTTGTCGCCGAGGTTTACAGACTATCGAAAGGCCTTGCACAGACCAGGAAAGACAGATCGGGGATTTAAACTAGATGTTACCGACAGGGTGCACAGCCCTGAGAAACGCAGTCGTATGCGCTACGTTCGCAGCACAGAGTTCGTGCACATGGCTGACAGTCACAAACAAGATCTCAGATCTTGAAGAAGAAAAAGAAGAGTCGAGCACCGGAACAATTCGTTTATTATCCTGAGCTTTCAGACTCGTACAGGAGTCCATCGTCAGAGGTAGTGGCAGAAACAGGATAAACGGCAGTTATAAGGCACGTAGACCCAATCATCGACCGACGTCGCTCGACTGGAGGTGACTACGAAGGGCTCTGTACGCCGGCGCCAGATCGATAAATCGATTGACCGAGTTCTCATCCGAGGCCCAGGCTTCAATCAATTCTCGGCCTGTTTTGCTTCCGGCGTTGGCAACTATTTTGGTGGCTGCGAAGTCAAACTCGTGACCCATTTCGTAGGTGTGGGCGGCCACTTGTGATAATGCGTCGCCTCGCCGCTCAGCCAGCTTATGTTCATGTATGCGCGATCCGAGCATGCGACGATATGGCATTCTCTGCCATACATCAAGGGTGTTTCAGAAGCGACCGAGCGCATTGCTGCGGAGCTTGGGGTTGGAATCGCACACCGCCCCAAAGCCACCATGCGCAACAGGGTCATGAAGATCAAAGACCGGTTAAAACCTGAAGAGCAATCTGGAGTAGTGTATCTCATTCCGTGTCAAAATTGTCCTTGTAATTACACAGGATAGACTGGACGCATACTCGGATCGCGCATACATGAACATAAGCTGGCTGTGCGGCGAGGTGACGCAATTTCACAAGTGGCCGCCCACACCTACGAAATGGGTCACGAGTTTGATTTCGCAGCCACCAAAATAGTTGCCCACGCCGGAAACAAAACAGGCCGAGAACTGATTGAAGCCTGGGCCTCGGATGAGAACTCGGTCAATCGATTTATCGATCTGGCGCCGGCGTACAGAGCCCTTCGTAGTCACCTCCAGTCGTGCGAAGTCGGTCGATGATTGGGTCTACGTGCCTTATAACTGCCGCTTGTCCTGTTTCTGCCACTACCTCCGACGATGGACTCCTGTACGAGTCTGAAAGCTCAGGATAATAAATGAATTGTTCCAGTGCTCGACTCTTCTTCTTCTTCAAATATGTATACACCTGGAACTCAAAACTTCGCCTTCATTCGTGATCTCAGATCTGTTTACGAAATAACGCCGTTATCCCAGCGATCGCGTCTTCTTCCTCAAGCCGGCTTCCTGGACTCGTCTCTTCGCTTACATTGGCAAAGAACACTAATGTCTGCCAGTCGTATTGATGGATTCCACGCGATTTTAATTATAATGAGCAAAACTGGGGCGGAAGTCTACGCACTCCCTTTTCTCCTGTGCAGCAACAACGACGGTCAAGGAGCCGAGGTTCACGGACTGTCGAACTATCCCGAAATTGCGTAGAGACTCAGGTATTAGATTAGGCAAATGTTATTGGTACAGAGCCCTTCCGAGAATGATACATTGTTGCCAGTTAAGTCATGCGAATTAATTACAGGTCGCGACTATGCGACGAGCACAGTTATGTAAAAAAATGATAGGAAATTTAGGTCTTAAATGGCGCTTAGAACCCCGGGGAGTATTCTGGACAGATCGGAGCCTCATCAGAAATAAGATTGAAAGCCCACATCTTGTGACATTTTGCGACGTTTTTAGGTCTATTTTGAAGAATGTGCACTCTTGCAAAAGACACCCGAACAGCGGCCCTCAAACTCGTGTATGCCGTTGAATACTGACTGTATATCGGGTGTTGCTGTAGTCCGTCACCCGTACTGAATTAGCTTTAAAGTGGAAACCATAAGAGATGCTTTCCAATAAAGGTCCGCTGTCTGGGAATGAGCAAGACTATGCCAGAACCTGAACATTATGTTCGAGATGTATTTATTCACTGTCATCTGCAAGGGCCAAAAAGAGACTTAAAGGACATATTTGGGCATTGAACACCCATTTGCTATGTCATTGGGCATTTACATTTCCGCCAAAGTACAATAAATCCCACGGAAAGTAGGCAATAGTTTAGAGAGAGAGGGAGAGAGAGTCATGAGCTAATCTCAAATTAACGCTGTGACTCAAAGTACTGCACATCTGTAAGGCACTATTCTAAGAACTGAGGCTAGGCGGAAATCCAGGATGTCGTGCTCGATGGTATGGACATCTTAAATGTGGAATGTTACCACTGCAACCAGCCGAACCTTTTGCAGCCCTGTTGACTGCTGCAGAGAAGGGACATTTCCAAATATTCCCAACCCCACTATTTTAGAAGTCGCAGGTAACCACAAATTCAAAATGTCACTGGCAATAATGCAAATATCATAAAAGTGGGATTCCCCCAGTGCAACCAAACAAACCTTTTGCAGCCCTGTTGACTGCTGCACAGAAGGGATATTTCACCGGATCTACACGCTCGGCCTTCATGGTGACCTGACTGTCATTTCCAAACACCTGCTCGAGGTACTCGACGATTCGGTAGGCGGACATTCGTTCAGGATCGGATCCGCAGATATCACGCGTCACCCGACGTCCCTCCTCCATTGCCCAGGCTATCCTGAGAACGTCGGTGGCAGGCTTATAAACTCCTAATTTGTCGTACTTCGCAGTTCTCTCTGGAAAGGCCTCCCTTATTTCCAGGGGCTAGATCGGTTCAAAGGAAATACCGATGATCGTGAATAATCAAAGGATGTAAATGTACGGTAGGTGGGCTAAATCAAGAAATGTCAGCCGGAATTCCGAAATGCATTTTCGTTTCGGAAAGATTAATTAAGTACAGTTGTAAAACTAATCGTCATGCAGCAGAACTCTATAATAATTAAGTTACCTCTGGATGCCGGCTTTCGAATGAACTTCCTTCCGGCTGCATGCAAAAACTACGCTCTGTAAAAATGACTACTTACGTAGCATGGATTTTTCTCATTGATTTTCGATGTCCCAAAAGTCCAATTATGTTTCATGGAAAACATGCAGAAAAATATTCATTCCTTTGCTCATACGTCTTCTCCCAATTTTATGCTCGAAGGAAGGGTAATATTCGGTTTGCAAAAACTTTTCCAATTGCCGAATAATTACACTTAGATTCATGGTTTCCAAACTACAAACCGTATATTTTGCGCGTACGGAAAAGCGCCCATTTCTCTACGGTAATAAAGAGGGACCATATAGGGTTCATAAAATTTGGCAGTGGATGCGATCCATATTGTTAACTTTACAAGCCACATTGGTAAATGTAGAAGCATGACGATTTATGAACGGCCATTTCACGGTATTTAAAAGTCCCACAATTAGAAACTTATTTGAAACCAAATTATATCCCTCCTTCCAGTATAAAATTGGAAGAAAACGTAATTACCTACCGAATGAGTGAAAGAATGAATATTTTTATGTATGTTTTCCATGAAATATAATTGCTATTTAAGGGTATTGAAAATCAATGAGAAAAATTCATGCTATGTAAGTAGTCATTTTTACAGAGTGTAGCTTCTGCATGCAACCGGAAGGAAGTTCTTTCGAAAGCGGGCATCGTGAGATTACTGAAATATTACAGAGTAATTTTGCAGACAGATTATTTTTACAATCCTACTTAATTAATCTTTTTGAAACGAAAACGCATTTCGGAATTTCGGTTAACATTTCATGAGTTAGCCAATCAACTGCAGTCTCATGCCACAAAGTCTGAAAAGAATGGTGTTGCGGAAAACATCGAATTTCGTATGAAGTATTAACAACATGGTGACGGATCGGTAGAATTTTCGAAGTCAGCAATAGTACACTGACGAACAGCAACGCACAACTCAAAGCTTCTCGCAAACGACTATCGTTTTTATTATGGCGCATTCAATGACTTACAGTGCGTGAGCCATCTCATAAAATTTTGGCCGAAATTCTGGAATGCGTTTTCGATTAGCAAGATTACTTAGGTGGGGTTGTAGGATTGATTAGCATGCAGCGTAATAGTATAGCATTTCGGACTCACCAGGATGTTTGCTCTCGAATGCACTTCTCCTTGACCTCCTGCGGAAACCGCACTCAGTAAAAAATGACTACTTATGTAGCACGCATTTTTCAAATTGATTTTCGGTGGTCTTCTAAATTCAAATATATTTTATGGAAAACATGCACAAAATATGCTTTTTTTATTTTTTTGGTAGAAAATCACGTTGTCACCATATTTTGCATCCAAATAAAGTGTATATTTAAGCTTCAAAAACGTTTCTAATTATGAGATTTCAAAGGACCGCACATGTCCGTTTACAAATGCTCCTCTTGAAATGTACAACGTAGTCCGCATCCGTTGCAAGGATTAACGAACCCTATATGGCACCTTCTTGAAGTCATAGAGGAATATTTTATTGACCTTACGTAGAAAGCATGCAACTTGAAGACTGGAGTCGCTAAACGCTACCGCATTAGCAGATCAGGCTCAAAATTATTCGGGAATTGGGGAACTCTTTTGAAGCCTAAATATACACTTTCTTCGGATGCGAAATATGAAGACAATGCGATTTTCTTTCAAATAAGTAAAAGGAACCATATTTTTCATATTTCGCATCCGAAGAAAGTGTATATTTAGGCTTCAAAAAAGTTCCCTACTTCCCGAATAGTTTTGAGCCTGATATGCTATTGCGTTAGCGTTTAACGACTCCACTCTACAAGGCGCATACTTTCCGCGTAAGAAAAATAGCACATTCCTCTATGACTTCAAGCAGGTGCCATATAGAGTTCATGAATCCTTGCAGTGGATGCGGGCTACTTTTTACATATCATAAGGAGCAATCGTAAACGGACATGTGCGGTCCTTTAAAATCTCATAATTAGAAACGTTTTTGATGCTTAAATATACACTTTATTCGGATGCAAAATGTGGTGACAATGTGATTTTCTACCAAAAAAATAAAAAAGCATATTTTGTGAATGTTTTCCATAAAATATATTTGAATTTAGAAGACCACCGAAAATCAATGTGAAAAATGCATGCAACATATGTAGTCATTTTTTACTGAGTGTGGTTTCTGCAGGAGATCGAAAAGAAGTGCATCCAAAAGTCGACATCCTAATGAGTCCGAAATGCTATAGTATTACGCTGCATGCTAATCAATCTTGAAATCCCACCTTAGTAATCCTTCCTAATCGAAAACGCATTCCAGAATTTTGGCCAACATTTCATGAGATGGCTCACGCACTGTACGCGTTGGAACTAATTCAATGCTTTTGGAAAACCGGAGTAAATTTGTAAGATACTTCATGGTATCCTGCCCTATTCAACAGCAATCACTGCACCATGCAAGGCCACAGAAGCTAGGAATAGGAACAGAACTAATTTGTATATTAAATGTCAAGATGGATAATCCTCCTGGATGGGAACTTCTAACGAAGTAGAACTTCTGGGGAATTCCTTCGAATTCGCCTGCGTTTATTGATACCATGAACTTCGAACAATTCTAACTACTACCTCTGATTCTTTTGCTAACATTTTTGACTTCCTGGAGTTCATAATCCAAGTTGTAACACAAACGTCCATACAGCGTAGCCGTCGAACCGATCCGCTGAAAATCACTGCTGGAGACAAACCTCCCTATTTTTCATAGAAAAAATCTAACGTATGCATCTGGAAATTAGTTGTTTACTTGCAAGTTCCTAGTGGAAAAGACTGTGCATTAGGTTTGGCTTCAGTGTGAGTTAATAGATTGCAAAGAATTTTCATAATAGTTAAAGCGCTGTCGGAGGACTCCTGTAGAATACATATTTTTGCAAAGTTTGACTCGGAAAAAGCTCTTACTCTCAGTATATGGCGCGGGTTGCATTAGTGTAGTGCCCTATACGCTGAGGGCAAGAACAACTTGTCGGGTTTCAAACTGACTCCCGTTTCTCTTTTGACAGTGTACTATCTGCTAAGCACATTATTCAACCTACTGACTGGAAGTAGACATAAAACTTTTTATTGAAAGCCAATAAGATTAACCTTTAAGAACAAGATGCGATCACGGGAACAAGAATTTTATTAGCCTGACGTTTCGGGTTCTCACTCAAACACATCTCCAGAGACAATCACAGATAAGGATGGTGGAGTCACAAAGATTGCAGTATTTATAGTACGTGGATGCCGTGGGACCACGTGCGTACTGTAAGTAACAGCTCGCGATCATCGCTGGGGGTCGTAATTGATGCGGTGGTGGCTTGTCAGTCCGCAATCGAGTCGTTAATAGTCCAGCCAGAGGTAACGACCGCATGACTTGCGAGCTGCTCGAGTCATGGTCCTCCAGGAAACGCAATGACCTCCCGTTTCCATACTGGGTACTGAGGCTTTCCTGGGGCAAGGAAATCAATCACGCGGGGAGGGCGCGGGCGAACAACCATTAAAGTAACAGCGAGGCAAATTGCCGAGTAATCATCATGCCAAAATCGAACATGGATGGTGCAATCTCGGCCATTAAGAACTCGGACGCGGACTGAAAGGCCATCATCGCATCCATTACGACCCCCAGCGGTGGTCGGGAGAGCTGTAAATTATAGTATGTATGTGGTCCCAAGGCAGCCGCCTACTGTAAATTCTCCACTCCTTGTACCTCCTTTTCCCTTATCTGCGACCGTCTATGAAGATGTGTCCGAGTGAGGATCCGAAACGTCAGACCAATAAGCTTCTTGCTCCAGTGATCGCATGGTCTTCTTCTGAACTGCTTACAGGAACACACCTGTTTGCTTCTATTAGCGTTGAAAGCTGAACAAAAAGCAGCCAGGTACATTAGACAGAAGCCTTCGGAATTATTTACGAGCTGTAGGCTAGTCCCTCGCTTTAACGCGCTTAAACTCTATCGCGGATTTCACATGCACGCATATCTAAACATATATGGAGAGCTTTCCGCTGGTTTGCGGTTTTTTGCGGATAATAGGCCTTTTTATTTCTGGTGCATACTTCCTCCGCTGATTTGTCCAGTTGATTTCTTGCACCGGGCGCTAGCTACTGATGACCAAGTGGCCATTCAGTCAGATTACGCGCCCAAGTCCCACATCCTAACGAATCTTGCCTAATGTCTAGGAGAATATAAAAGGCTTTATGCTGGATAACTGTGTGAGATATGTTTACTAAAAGTTGGCAGGACTTGTAGGAGCTTGAAATATGTAAAAATAACCACGAACAACCTTTGCGATCGAGGAGGGACCACTGCGCTTCTAATCAGACAGGGTACTATAAAAATACGTGACGACAAGATTTGAAGTGTATTGACCAACCGTGTAAAGGGCAGACAGAGCGCCCATGATCGCGTTCAGTTGCGGGAAGATGCCCTCCATCCACACGGCGTCGGCGGGTGCGGACGTAAGCGGCCCAAGAACCAGCAGTGGGGATCTGAATCCCAACTCAATTGCCCTGACAAACCAATCAGAGAAGTCTTTTAGAGCAATCAGCGGCAGCAGCAGCAGCAGAGAGAAGGAAGCGTGCCCTTCCATAAATGAGAGCGTTAACTGAGGACACAGACGTGTGAACTGTCAAATTTGTAATTTGAGTGAAGTATGAGGCGGCCGCAGCCCACCATCACGTTACCGTCGCTTAAGGACAGGCAGAAAAGTGGAGCAAGCGGCACATTGACAGTTAAGTATTTCTAAAGAAAAATATTATCGTACTCGTTGTATATAAGTAACAATTATTTTAAACCTTGTATTTTAATCAGTAGTACGTCGCAGTGCCACCCTGCTCGTACAAAGGTAGTTACCCATAACGTCTTATCGGTCACTCCTCATGAAATTTGAGCTATGCACAACGTAAATTTAAAATGTTTTATAGGCATTCTTATGCAAATGTATCTTTAGTGACACCCACAGAAAATCACTGCCTGCACAGAGCTGAAATGTGCGTATTCTGGAAGGGCGTCTTTGAGGTACACGTGTGGTGCTTTGGCGCCAAAGAGGATGAAACCAGTTATTCCTAAGTCGGCCATATGCAACCCTGCGATGCAGTCGGACTGTTTGGCTGTGTAAGTCATGGCGTCTGACCCTCTCCCCGGTCTTCTTGACTCTGTGATGACAGGGGGCCCAGACGGATGAGGAAGGTGATGGTGCAGTAGATTCTGTGCAAGTCTACTACCACTCACACACACGTCACACACATACGCAGCACACAATCACACACAAGTCACCGTCCCTGCGTTCGACCTGCAGTGGAACACTTGATGAACATCGTCGCGAAGGGCGGTCGGACTGCCGCTTTTAAGATCGCGAGCCGACCGTGCTGAGTCTAACCAAACTTAAGTCGTATGCTTCGTACGGCTGCGATCGTGCCTGGTCTAGTCAACCTCACTCATAAGGATTATTGGGGATTTTTAGCATAGCCAGGCCCCAACAGCCGCTCAGATTTTTTGTCCGAGACGTTGGGTTTGCTAATCGAATAGCCACCGCCTCGACTGTTGCTAGAGCCCGTTTGCGTAGGCCTTTAAAGTAATTTACTGGCGCCCTCTCTCTGGCGTCGGGCTAGTGCTTACAGCAGCCGAGCGGTGGCTACTCGATTAGCGAGCCCTGCGCTCTGTTACCAGGCCGTCTGTCTTCCCTGGTCATCTCCAAGTGGTGATCATACGTCACCCCAGCAACCTGAGAATTGTCACACGCACTACGCGTGTTTGAAATACAGACAGCGGTCACAACCTAACCCGAACCCCTCACTGCCTTTAGATGTTTGGACGCCCCTTCAACGCCTTTACACAGCTGCTGTTATCTACGCCCGTCACGGGACTGTACGGCATTTTATAAATTCGACCAGACATCAGCTCCTGCAACCTAACAGTACTGTCGTTTCAGATCCTCAATTGCCTATTTTTCCGGCCCGAGAGCTTGCTGATTTTGCAGCTAACATCTACCTGTAGATGCGCTAGACGGCCAGTAGTTACCCTTCCAGCGATCTCAGATACAAAAAACGCAGTCACCGCCATCGCCGCCGCCGCACGTTCGTAGACTGGCGAAAGTGTGAAACAGTCTGTTACATGCCTTCGTTTTACGTTTTAAAGCATGCGAAGATTTTTACTCCGATGTTGAGACTATATGAGGAAAATCTAAGTACAGGCTGATGATACTTTTCTTGATGAACACCCAAAGTTAACGCCAAATCCCACTCCATTGTATTCTCTTGCTTATCCCTAGTTTATATTTTATCCTCGTGTTCCGATTTAGGAGTTTTATTGAAAAGTCAGTGCTAGACTGTAAGGTGTCGTGGATTAACTCCGCGAACCGCTTTCCACTAGAAAGAGAGCTCATTTTACAATACTATGAAAGAACTACTGACAAACATCAGTAAGAACATTTTCTGGATTTTTTACATCACAGTCCTGCTAGTCTAATAAATTAATGATGACATTTCGCGGCAGCCCTAATCATTCCCTTTACATCGTAAGGAGGAAAGGATACGTCCGATAGTTAAATTTCTGGCCGCGCAGCCGGCGCACGGTAGATATCCTTCTTTCAGACTAGAGAATATCTAAAATGGACTTGGTAGGTAACAGTTTCCTGCGAAAGGTACACCAAAACTATCATCAACTGTTAGGAGAGACTGTAAACAGGGCAGAAAACCTTTATAGCCTGACATCGCGCCGTCATTAGGGAACGTGGATGCTCAGGCGCCTATTTCACGCCTTTAAACGGTCGATGTCATCTACGTCCGAGCACCATATTCCAACTGCACAAGCACAGATGAAACAGAAGGATGATCAACGAGTCACATCAATTTTAAGGTTCAGTCAGCGGTTGTCATGATACCGAAGTAGATAACGGCGACTCACTTCTTTATGCCTCCCTTCGCGGCGTCATAAATACGGCGACTGTCATCGTAGTCTCTGTCCAAGGCACCTGTTGGCGCGTTTATCTGTGTGTTGGAAAAAAACGAAACATTAAAAATCCCTGTGGTCTCCGTACACAGGAGAGACTTTAATTCGTGAACTGCTCTATTTCCAGCATAATCTCATGCCAACGGTTTGTTTTTGTTGAGATGACTTTTGGAATTTTCTAATTGTCCAGCTTTTCCATAAGGGATATTCAGGGTGCTTCACAGTCAAATTCTAATCTGCGTTGCTTCATGTGACTAGGTGGATCTACCGCGAAACAGGTCAGGCTGACTAACTTCAAGACAAATCTACGTAATGCATCTGATTCGACCAATTCCTGGGCAGTTCAAAGCAGTCATCTTGCAGTTTTGATGCGTGGTTGAAAATAGCACATGCGTAGGATCATTCATGGAGATCTATTAAAGATTCGGAAAGGAGTGGGAGGTTTGAATAACTACCGGGTTTTCTAATGTCTTCAATCAGGTGAATAGTTAATGACGACAATTCCGACTCTTTATAAACGAAACCAGAACTCGCCTAAAAGTACAGTGGGTAGGTTCGAAGGTAAACATGTGAGAAAAAGCGGCCTCAGGAACTTACAATCCTTTTGCTGGGATTTCCTGGAAAGGGCACAACACATGTTTCCTTAAATGCCAGGGGATGCACCTAAAACGAACGATGAAAAAATGTAGATTGATGCAAACGTCAGTCTCGAAAGCTTTTTTCGCAATAAATAATTCATCTGATTGGTCTCCGATAGGCACATTCGTCAAGGATAAACATGGTTACACGTGGCAGTCTCTAGAGTGTTTACGCTCGCTCAGTTCAAGCTGTCAAGAAGTACCAAAAGTGCCATTTATTGCACCGCTTTTGCGCGTTGTGATGTTTAGGTTTCAATCAGATAAGTATCGCGATCAATGCCGTGGTGTCAGCGAGACTAAAATGCAGCATTTAACCAGGCGATACGTTAAAACCAGTTGCAGGGAAATTATATAAATTTGATTCGATCACAGTCCTTTGAATGAAAAACGTTGAGCTCTGTTGATAAAACACTTGACTCTGATTCTTTTTCAGTATGAAAGCCGGACAAGGAACTACCACTTGTAAAGTATTACCGGTCAGATTTGGTTATGTAGCCGCAACTAAGGCAAACAAAACCCAGCCACCCGTAATACGGGACCGGTGGTAATAGGGGTTTTTGCAGTTAGGACCGGGGAACGAACAGATGACGAGGTCGGGTAACGGTATGCAAAATAAACGCTATTGGGAATGCGCGGTTGTACTTTGAGAGCTTGAGACATTTTTGTCCTAACCCCTAACCCTAACCACTAACCCTGACCCCTAACCGTAACTCCGACCTTTAATCCCTAAACCTGACCCTAACGCCTTGCCCCACCCCCCCAGCCATAACCTCTAGCCTTAACCCCTTGCCCCAGCCCTAACCCCCTATCTTTAAGCCTAACATCAACCCTAGCCCTTAACCGCAGCCCTAAACCCTTATCCTGAATCGTCCAACGCGAAAGTTAGAAAGAGACGACAGGCGGAAAGTCAAGAAGGACTACCGGCATTGGGCCGAAGAAGGTAAACACAACAAAAAAGCAAACGAGGCTGCCAACAGAACACCACAAAGCAAAACAACACCATGCCAACGTAATCACTCCAACTCAAAATAATTAAGTAGACTGGCATTACTGTGCCCATCAGGCCGAAGTACTCTCTGAGAAGGCTTTCAGTCGATCTGCGAATTTCGTGCCTTTGAAGTTGCACAAAGGAAAAACAGATTGATTGACTAACGCTTTAGACAGATTGGGAGAACGCATTTGGCCCTCTTGTGCAAAACCTCGGCGGCCTCAGTGGAATCGAGCCCACGACATCAAAGGCAAGACTTGAGTACAGCCAAGAGTCAAACCATCGGAGCTCTAAGGCACCACCGTGAGCCGTGGGTTTGATCACGTTTAGGCCAAGTCAGCCAACGGCAGCGTGTGAAATCCACCGATACAGTAAACTGACAGCCCAGTCAGGCATTCTCAAGCAATTAATCCAGACGTTGCCGTAGGTTGGGCGGGCAACTTGACCCAAATGGGATTAAACTCGCGTCGTCCGGCGGGACCTCGTAGTTCAGGTAGTTAGAGCGTTGGCTGTACTAAAGCCTTCCCCTTACTGCGTGGGTTCGAATCCCACCGAGACGCCGAGTTTTTCACAGTTGGGTCAATCTGAATTGATCTTATATCCTTCAGATGACTGCCAGGCTTACCTAATTAATTGACGTTTTTGCGCATTTGAATAATTCCCTTAGCGCAGTTGTGAAAAACGCGAATGATACACCGAGCACGAAAGTCGTTCCTCTTCGTTCGTTGGGCTTTCCCATTCTTAGAGGCCTTTCATCATCGTGGTGTCGGTTCTGGCACGCTAATTTGTTTTGTCGGAAGTGAAAATCGGCCATTCTTTGTGCATATTTAAACCCCGGTAGCGTGTACGAAAAAACGTGTCTTTCGACTGTTGCATGTATCATAGTGCATCAGATGCAGATGGTTAACTGTGGACGGCTTTAGCGGACGAAATAAGGGTTTACGAATTCCGGGCTCGAAGCTCCGAAACCTAAATATCAGGTTAGTAAACAGTCTAGAACCATCGTATCTATACATGGCAATCCAACGTACGGTTTGGCAAAATGAATGTTCGTTCATCTTAAGTTCCTGGCAGAGGGTTTGCCAACAATAGTGGCTTCTGCTAGTCAGTTCCTTGAAACTTTGAAACATCTAAAACTAGAGCCAGATGAATCCATGGTATCGTTTGATGTCGTTTCACTCTTTACCTCCATTCCACAACAACTAGCGATTGACGTTGTGAGACAACTCCTGGCTGATCGCTACAACGAGAGAGACAATCCCCTGAAGACTGAACATCTCATGGAGCTCTTACGCTATTGCTTAAAAACATATTTCACCTTTGGTGGACAAATGTATGAACAAATCAAAGGCACCCCTATGGGCTCCCCCATATCAGGGCTGATTGCTGAAGTGGCTCTTCAACGGATAGAACACTTGGTGTTCACCAAGTATCAACCAAAGTTCTGGGCTCGTTACGTCGATGACACGTTCGCCATTGCCAAATCATCTGAAGTGGACCACCTTAAAGAATTACTGAACTCGGTTGATCGGAATATCCAATTCACGATGGAAGCTGAAAAAAACAACCCTTCCTCGATGTTCTTGTGCGTCGGTGTGCAATTGTACAGTTGCAAACTACCGTTTTCAAAAAGCTACTAACACAAGACAAACACTGCATTTCAACGGCAATCACCCCCTTCCTCACAAACCAGCTGCGTCCGTGCTCTATTCCAAAGAGTTGAAACACACTGCAGCACACTAGCCGACAAAAGAGTTGAACGACAATGTCTTCACGACCTCTGTTGAGCCAATGGATACAAAAGCTAATTTATCAAGAAAAGCAAGCGTCGGGTGGACAGATGACGACGACAAGAAGAGCAATCCGAAGTCTGGAGGGCTATTCCTTACATTAAAGGAGCCTCCGAGGCAGTTTCGCGTCTGCTACAACTCGCCAGGGTAGGCACTGCACATCGACTCCCCCCCCCTCGGCAACAATTCACCGCCGTTTGATGGAACCTAAAGACATACTGCCACCCACTGATTCCTCAGCAGTTGTCTATCAGATACGGTTATAGCGATGGAGCTTGACCCTACGTTGAGGAAACCGGACGGAAATTGCAGACCCGCCTACATGAGCCAAAACTGGAAACTCGGAGACGAGACCCAAGCTCACAGCTTGCGGCTCACATCGGAGAAACTAGCCACAATTTTGGCATCCAAAGAAGAGGTAGTCTTAGACCAGTGCACCTTACGGACAGAACGTCTCACATATGAGGCTTGGTACCCAGTGCCTACTCCATCATCATGCAGTCTATAAGTCCTACAGTAGGTGGACTAGCTCATGAAATGTCAACCGAAATTCCGAAATGCGTTTTCGTTTCGAAAAAATAAAGTAGATAGGGTTGTAAAACTAGTTTGCCTGCAATATGCTTTTATAATATTTCAGTTACATCAGGATGTCGGCTTTTTAATGGACTGCCTTCCGGCTGCATGCAAAAACTAGGCTCTGTAAAAAATGACTACATATGCAGCATGAATATTTCTCATTGATTTTCGATGCCCCTAAATGTCCAATTATATTTCATGGAAAACATGGATAAAAATACTTCTCCCTTAGTTCATTCGGTAGATAATTACGTCTTCCAATTTTATGCTCGAAGGAGGATATAAGTTTGTGTTAAAGAAGTTTCTAATTGTGGGACTTTTAAATACTGTGAAATGACCGTTCATAAATCGTCATGTCTCTGCATTTACCAATGTGGCTTGTAAAGTTGACGATATGGATCAAATCCACTGCTAAATTTTATGAGCCCTATACAGTCCCCCTTTATTACCGTAGAGAAATGTGTAGTTTTGCGTACGCGGAAAATATACGGCTGGTAGTTTCGAAACCCTGAATCCAAGCGTAACGGTTCAGCGGGTTCAAAATTATTTGGGATTGGAAAAGTTTTTGAAAACCGAATTATACCCTTCCTTGGAGTATAAAATTGGTAGAAGACGTAATTTTCTACCGAATGAGTAGAAGGATGAATAGCTTATATATGTTTTGCATAAAATAAAATTGAACTTTTAGGGTCATCGAAAATCAAGGGTAAAAATGTATGTTACTTAGCTGGTCGATTTTTACCGAGTCTGGTTTTTAGATGCAACCGGAAAGACGTTTCTTCGTAAGCCGGCGTCCTGGGGTAACTGAATTATTATCGAATTATGCTGCATGCTATTGGGTTATACAGGCCTATTTAATTTATCTTTTCGAAGCGGAAATGCATTTCGGAATTTCTGTTGAGACTTCATGAGTCAGTCCCACAAAGACGAGGGAGACTGGAATGGTCATTTCTGGCTTACTGGCTGTCATCAGCTAGTCATAACCAACCCACACAGCGGTTGTTGTGTTGCCTTTCAGAGTCGTAGACGGAAAGTCACACTGTCGTATTCCTAGCGGTGACACAGTAGGCATCAGATCGGCAGCTGAACAATTCCAAAGGGGCTCAGACTAACGATGGGACGTCATTGATCTTCCGGTCCCAACTATGTTTATCCCTCCGCGTTCTAATGGACATTTTGGGGAAATTTATGCACATCTGATGCAATAAGTAACTTTTAACATGCAATAACTTGACAATGAGCACTCTTCTTTGGAATTATGCGTGTGATTGATGACTGAAATTTCAGTTTCGAAAGGTAGATTGGCTAGTGGTCTTCCCATCAGAAATTGGTAGATTTCGACGGGGTACCTGGTACAGTTTTACGTGCGGACATCCATAAAAGGGCACGAGATCTACTTCATTTTATTGGGTTGAGCCCTCAGTCTGTCGCAATGCGTTTAACCTCATCTAAAAAACATTATCGTGCACCACTACTTACAACCAAATAAGTAGTTGGTGTTACAATCCATGACGAAAAGAATCTGCGGTCTGTCTGAAACACCCGTTTTCACATCAGCAGGCCTCTTTAGGAAAATGGGTGGATGAGAAAGGGTTTAGCATGCACGTGTCAGAAATTAGAAAGGCAAAGATTTTTAGGGAGAACTGGATGGCACTCATCGGATTCTGTCATCGCCAGGCCTCGTGATCGTCGGGAAAGCAGATCCTACCTGCAGCACCACAATATGGCAAAATATATTACCTGTTAATTTCTCCTACTGTGTGTTTTATGCATGACAGCATAGAAATTGAGCCAGGATGCGTTAAAGGCCACAGCAAGCGTACACACCGTTAGGATAATGCACAAATTTTTGGCGGAACACTTCGAAATAACCTAGCCCATTCAATTGTCCTGGGACAGAGGACTTTAGGTCTCCGCTTATGTAGGGCGTCTTGTGGATTTACTAATAGTTTCTCGTTTTTTCATAAAATAAAAATGTTGTCGCTTTTTAATTTCCTCAGAAATTAACTACCAGCTTGGAGTAGATCAGTTTTTTCAAGGCCTATAGGCTCAGACCGAGAATTGTATGTATGAATATTTGGACCGGAGTCCATCAACTACAGCGGTTAACCGTTTAATATGCATTAACTGCCGACAGGCAGCTAGTAGTATACTTTAGGATAAGGTGATACCATACTAACAGCACAGCTACTAGTCAATAGGCCATGCACGCGTGTTTTACCGATATTTTGCCGCTGCATGGCGCAGCTGCGAGGGGTTCGGCTCGGTAAGAGCCTACAGACACTGAATAAACTGATCTACTCCCAGTTCGTAGTAAATTTCTCAGGAAATTAAAAATTGGGGTATCTACCAGAAAAGAGACGGGGAATGCTGGAAGTCCCACTGATGAACCCAACCTCTCGCAGCTGTGCCATTCAGCGGCAGAATACCAGCGAAACACATGTGTATGGGTTTTTGGCTAGTACCTGGGCTGTTAGCATAGTGTCACTTTCACGTAAAAAAAGAAAGGTCCCCGATAAACTCAATATGATGCTCAATGTCGTCTCGAAGCTGCAGTCTAGAGCGCTCGCAAGGAGTAACATACCGGCGGGGAATAGTATGAGGTCAATATCAACAGAGATGTTAGAAACTGGTATGCTCGTTTCTGACATAATAGCCGTCATCATAAACTACTAAGAGAAGGAGTGATTGTCCCGATGTCAAATAGTTTCCACAAATCCCCATGCCTCTCCATTTACCAATGTGGCTTGTGAAGTTAACAATGTGGCTCAAATCCACTGTATCATGTTACGAAACCCATATGGTCTCCTCTTAATACGGTAGAGAAGTGTGTGGTTCTCCGTACGCGGAAATTATACGGCTTGTAGTTTGGGAACCCTGAAAGCAAGTGTAACGGCAGGCCGGGTTTAAAATTATTACGGAATTGGAAAAGTTTTAGAAAACCGAATCAAACCGTTTCTTCGAGGACAAAATTGAAAGAAGTTTTAATTTCCTACCGAATGAGTAGAAGAATCAATATTTATATGCATGTTTTCCACGAAATATAATTGAATCTTTAAGGGCATCGAAAATCAATGAAAAAAATGCAGGTTACATAAGTAGTCATTTTTACGGAGTATGGCTTGTGGATGCAGCCGGAAGGAAGTTTGTTCGAAAGCCGGCGTCCTGGGGTAACTGAATTACTATAGGATTATGCTGCAGGATGATTGGTTTTACAACCCTACTTAATTTATCCAAACGAAACGGAAACGCATTTCGGAATTTCTGTCGACATTTCATGAGTTAGCCCACTTACTGTAGCTTCTAGGAAGCCAAATTTGGCAGTCAGTAAGTACTTCGTAGTCAACAAGAACTAACGCACAAGTAGGAAGGTACACTATCCCCTACACGAACCGCAGCGAAAACTGGTCCCGTTGCCGCATAGCTTAATGCTTTTAAAAGCTACTGACAGCCTTAAGCGTTACTGAAAAGCGATTTGAAGGACTCACCAATGAGTACGTATTCAGCGCTTGCACAATTGAGTCGAATTCGCCAGATTCATTTCCCGTCAAGTTGTTAACAAAGACAATAGTGTCGAAACCAGGACTGCTCAGGTCCTCCACTGCAGACAACTCCCCTAGCGCTGCAGAGACGCAGAGGAGGAAACAGAGGCCAAGGCCCTGCATCTTCGAGAAAAAAGATACGTGCAAACGCTCGCTCCCGAACTCGAGGCGACCCTAGGTGGACACCGTCAGCCACGCCTCTTGTAGGGTACCATGAACAGTAGAAGAGCCCTTCCGATTTGTCCGCCTGCGGACCAATGAACGGGTGTCATGTCAGCTAGATTACCAAGGCCAGGACCTACACTCTAGATGGCCACTGACTCGCATGTGCGCAACCGTGAAGGGCTTGGCGCCATTACACCTCCACACTGATTATTTACTGCTTGGCAAATGTAAAGTGCAGGACTAGCATT